CCTGCCTTCGCCCATCTCCCTCCTCTTCCGGTTCCTCCCCCTGAAGCACCACCATAGCCTCCACCCACGACGTCGGCGCAAGAAACAACAACAACCTACTTAAATTATAAAAACTGCAAAAAAATCGAATTTTCACACTGGAACCTACAAATATATCTTATTTATATATCGTGTGTATAATTGCCCAGCAGGGCCAAGCATAGATGCCAAGCAGGGCAAAGTAGGCTGTTTTGAGACCTGCAAGTCTAAGTAGGTGCCAAGCAGGGCTCATTAGGCTGTGTCGAGAAATTCAAGTCTATGTAGGCGCTCCTTAACGCTAATCTGGGCCAAGTATATATTGAGTTATAGGCCTTTTCAGCCTTTTTTGTTCGCAGACTTGGCCGTTTTTTCAGCCGTCTGGCAACCCTGAATCTTGTTAGTCCTGGAGAAATAAATTTCGTGGTACGAAGAAGTAAATACTTCTTCGGAGTCAACATGTTTAACGAATAACAATAAAATATTGAAGAATGTGCGTCGCTTGATTGTGTTTGCATCACAAGAATAAGGATTAATCTTTTCAAAGACTGCTATAACTACTAGGAGCTTTGGGAGCTCCTTGGTCTCTGGCAGGAAGAGTTTCTGCCATAAGGTGATTGTACACGAGGCTAATATTAGCTACGAGTATTGGCTTCAAGTTTTTGCTCTCCAAATATGCGATGATTTATTCTTCAGATGCAAGTAGCTTATGCTAATCGCGTTCAGGTTGTTTCTGTGCCGGCGAATATAGCAGTAGTGTGCAAATCTGTGCCGCTCTGTAACCTGCTGGGGGCAAGAATTTCTAATGTTCTGAACCATCTCTTGTCCCAGTAACGACGGTTCCACTAACGTCAAGAGGTCTTCACAAGTGGAATTTCTACTGTACTGTAATCTACTGTGGAATTTACGTCACAGTGTATATTCCAACAAAAACTAATTGAGAAAGTGGTGTTTTGAAACTCAAACAAGACCTTATTAGGTCTCTCAATCAAACTCTATACTTATCTACAAAGTTTTTCGCCTCCTCAGCAACTATGTTTTTCACCTCAGAGTGGCAACTATGCTACCAACTGCTTCAGCAAACGCCCCCTCAAACTCGGCATTGCAATTACGTTCCACATTCCACCATGTGCGGACATCGCTCGACGGCTTCCAACGACGCACTGTATCGTGTGTATACGCTTTCAGCCGGCAAAACTGGGATTGTGAAAACTTGCAGCTCATACTCGTGGTCGTAGCTAACACTAGCCCCGCGAATAAGCGCCTAAAGCTAGTGCGGTTTACAAGAAGCCACTTACTCGCTTCGCAGCAATGCCAAAATTCAGTGTTGTGCCTATAACAACACACACATAACAAATCAAATAGCCCGAGGATACTTAGTTTCAAAATCCATGACAGTAGGCGTTTCTTTGGCTGCAATAAACCATTAAAGTAATTTAGCCAGCATTTCAGTGAAAGTTTCATTTAGTCCCCCTTCCTCAAGGATTCAACCTTCATCTTCGCCCTGACGCTGCTGACCTCCTCCGTAACTGTGTACAATCTGATGAACAACATCCGCGAGGACGACCTCATGAACCTACAGACGTTCTGCACCTTCGGGACCTTGGCGCAGGACTCCACCAACCAAAACTACTGCGCATTTCAGGTAAGTATATTTTATTAAAATTGAGAAATCGTTGTTCGTAGATCGAGTAACCTGAAGATGAATACGACGCATTTGTACATAATTTTGTTCGAAAATGCTCAACTAAATTCAGTTTTATTACACTGGGTATTACATCTGTCTGACAACATATGGTTTCACTATTTGAACTGATTTATTACCTATTCTTGAGATATCACAATCACCGGTGCCTTGATTGGTGTCCAGGAAAGAATGTGCCTAGTTTATGACTGTTAAATATTTAAAAACATTTATAATATGTTCACTGAATTAAATAAATTTTAGGGATAATTGAAAATAAATCAATTTCTATTCACTCGAATACATGTTTATAAAAGTTAGAAAATGTATGCCAAGTAATTATGAATTATGTAATCGTACCAGACAACGTCCAAACAAACCTAAACGTCATCTAAACCTACCTTTTTCCAAGTTCTATGGTTTGCGATGCCTAAATTGATTGTGCTAAATTGCAAATTTCTTCCTAGTCCAGTAGGCTACAAAGACTCGATCGTGTAAATAATTCTTGCTCAAACCTACCAAAGTTCCCACAAATTTCTGATAGCTGATGCAAAAATTGTACTGATCTTATGCGACAAGTACATAGGCTTAGTTGAAAGTCATCTCCCTTGCCCACCGCTAATTCAAGTGGATAGAGTTTCAGGTTTGTGGATTACTCCGGAAATTGTTCAGTCTTCATCCACGGGGCGTGTGCCATTACAAAAAAACTTATTGCTTGCACGAAGTCAATGTGACAGTTCACATAAATTTACTGCTACATTTCTAAAAATGAAATCTTTTGATTTATGTCATTATTGATGATGTATTTCGTAGTGTCACACGCCGCGCGGATGAAATGCTATGAAGTTTCCTACCGTAAATCACAGGTTGGATTTACGATGTAAAATCTAATTCAGAAGTTGAACATTGCACACTGGTCGCTCTTGTGTGGTCAATGTGACAACTCGACGCGTTCCCGAATCTCGATCAGTGATGACGAGTTGGGTCTCCTGCAAATTTGAGTTTTTACGATGAGACGCTTAACACAGTACACCTGGAAAATAGGACTTTGTCTAAGGAATCGTACTCTATTTAATCCTCAAAAAATGTGTATTGCTTAGTTAGTTTTATATGAAAAATACATTCAGCAATTCAAGTCCTAATATTGCAATCAAATTGAAACATTTTTTAATGAATCATTGAACGAAAAATGGAGAATCCACTTTGAACGAATTTTAAAATTATGGAAAATCTGCGCGTTCAGCCTTAGACTTGTCATTGTGATGAAGAGGCGCATATTGGATACAAAAACTTACATTGGGCAATAAATATTTTTCTTAAAGTCTAAACTTATGGAAGTCGTAAGGCAGTGAGAATAACATGCGGCATGAAGCAACCTGGCTTGTTGTTTTCCACGCCTCCTATTAGTGACTCTTTTTGCTAATCCAAAGATCGATCGTGAGCAAATGAAATCCCACTTGACAATTGTTACGAAGAAAAGTGCCGTGGCATTCTCTCTTTATTATAAAATTTAAAAATTAAATTACAAGAAATACATTTATTAATTTCTTATATAGTTTCGTCAGAAGTGAATTGGCACTTGAGCACTCCTGTCAGTATCTGACAAAAAATAACTAAATTCTCGGAAGAAGAGATGTAAAATTTATAGAAACCTATTCAGCTCCCCGTTATTCTCAATTTGAAGTTTTGGTTGTTAGGATCACGAATCATTTCATTCAATATTGCCCTTGTAATTTCCAAATTTAGATTTTGATTTTTAGAATTATTTAACACTTCTTAACTGAAAACTGCCAAAATATTTACGCTTCGGGCACACAGCTTCTCCTCCATATCTAGAGGCCAGGGGCCGGATTATCAAAACTTCGTAACTTTTTGTACCTACGGCAAAAAAGTTACGTGCTACGTAAGTACATCCTAATTTTGGCATTATCAAAACTTTCGTACGCAAGTCTTAGCTAAAAGCGTATTATCAAAACCCTCTGGCTATCAGAGTTTCGATAAACTGGAGTGCTACCTCATGCCGCACATTGGCATGAGTGCCATCAGGGATGAATACTTTGATGGTCGACTAAATCGTAAGCTCGCTGGGACATTAAAATTTATGTTGATAGCTGTAAATTTCTGAACATTTAGATTTGCACGAAATCACAGCTTCACGTGGGATGGTATTCGAACAGAGGAAAAGTTTTTAATAACTAAATTTATTCAATCTCAGATGTGTGCAGATTTTTACTAGTGTATCTTAAGTAAAAAAATATTTTACGTTTAAAAATTTGTTCCTTAACTTCATTTCTGGTATTTTTAGTAGGACTAAAAAGTGAACAATTTATTTTGGGAACTCGGATAACCGTTACGTAAATTTTCTTTGTAGAATAATGAGTTATAAATCATTAATTGCAAGTTGGCATCATCCTCCTGGCGATCCAAATCTGAGTAGGATGATCTGAATCTTTCGTACTTTCTTCAATCGAGTAATTTTCTGAACAGAATTGGACCCGTTATTCGTGGAGCACCTGAAGGTGCTGGTGCCTCGCCTGCTGGCGCCAGAGCGCCTCGTGGAGAAGCGCTCAGCCGCGCGGCAAGGACAACCCGCCACCGGGGAGGAGCTGGTGGGCCTCTTCAGGATCTACATGGAGGCCTTCAGAGAGCGTCGAGTAGTTCTGCCGACCACCCTCGTTGAGGTGTTGAGCCTGATAAAATTATTGTCCAAATACTCTGCCGTCTAGGAATGTAGGACTTAACACTTATATTCGATATATGTACTCAATTTATGAATAACTATTAAGATATACCATATTTCAATGAACGTTTTACGAGAGCTTTCAACTGCGTAATTTTGCGAGAACAACATTTCATTTTCAGATAATGGTGCGCCACAAAAGCCATGAGGTCTACAAAATGGCATTTAATTGTTACAAAGAATCAATGTATTTAAAAACCAAACCCTGGCGAAGATCTTTTGAAGATTCTTTTCTAAACAGCTGTCACTCAGAATCAAAAAGCGGTGCTATTGCAGCTTACAACAGTGAAAATCAATACACCAGAAACAGCGCTTTGTTCGCAACTGCAGCTGATGTTAGGAAAGGCCTTGAAAAGGTGAGTCAAAGCCAGCGAAAGTGCAATCATGTACTCATAATATCGCAGACCGAACACTCTGGGTAATTGGGCTGTGTATATTCGTTGCCAGATTGAAGGAATATATGATGATTCTGCTTACATAATCAAATGCATGCATTGCCTCATTAGGTATAGAGCACAGAGGCAATAATTTTTATCAATAAATATTACTGATTTGTTTGAATGGGTGGCAGATATGGTGCTACAATGGCGTTAAATGAGCATGCAGGCGCGCGTGATCGGCGATACCTGCCGACGCATACATTGTATATACCAGGTTACAAATCCATGATGTCTAGTGATTCAAATATATGTAATCCATGAAGTCCGACGGTGTGTAATCCATGATGTCCGACGATTTGTAATCCATGATGTCCGACGGCGTGTAATCCATGATGTCCGACGGTGTGTAATCCATGACGTCCGACGGTGTGTAATCCATGATGTTAGGCCATTTGCAATCCAAGATATTAGACGACTTGTAATTTATGATGTCAGACGATTGCAATCCAAGATATCTGATGACTTGTAATTCATGATGTCATACGATTCAAGGATTTGAAATCCATAATGTGCATGGATTTGTATTCCAAGAACGATTCATGGTCCTTGAGAGCTGGACGAAGAACGCAACAATCGTGCATCAATATGTCGAGTAGTAGAAGACGAGAGTTCCAATTCGTAAAATAATTTAACTATTGAACGGCCAGAAGAGAGAGTAACCGATGGACAGATTATTTGCATTTTAGGTGTATCGGTAACTACGTACCTCCATTCTTTTGTTGCTAATACACCATCTACTTGGGTTATCTGCTCCGACATTGTCATCCTTTACCTCCACAATGCTGTTTCCTCGCCATCATTCGCCTCCACAATGTCAATCACTCAGAATTATTTACGTCTACAATGCCAATCTACAGCTAAATTATACCTGAAAAGCTTCGTTTCAATCTTGTTAGATTACGAGTCTATTAACTCTTCCATATGTTCTTAGCTATCTAACTAAGGTTTCATTGTTTTTATACGATTATCATTGCAATGCCAGACCGTGTACTCATGAATAATAACCCTTTAATTTACGATATTTCAAGATACCCTCAATAACAGTGGACCAAATAATCAACCGAAGGAAGTGAATGAAGTTGCAATTACAATGAACAACATTTTTTCAGAACATAGAAGACCACTTCAAAACCTATGTTCAAAAGAACGAGAAAATGAAGCTGGACGAGTTTGAATCGAGGTCCAGATTCTACATACTTGGAGGTCTGGCGGTTGCAGGTGCAGCTGCGGTGAGGGCCGGGGTCCTGACCGCAGCGGGAGTGAGTCTCGGGCCCGCGGTCGCAACAGCCGTTGGAGTTGGATCTGTGGCCCTCAAGGCAGTTCCCTGGGCCGCGAAGAGCATTTACGCTCGTTTCTTGCAACGCGGCCGGTAAAATAAACAACAGTGAAAACGTCATTTGAAACATTTCTTTTGCCGGATAAAACGAAACAAGGTTTATTAATAGTAGTAATAATATTATTTATATTATTACTACAATAATATTTAATAATTCTGCGCGTGGAGCTTTAATACAAATTCACTGTTAATTTATGCACGCTCGGATGAAGATTTGGAGATTTGCTCCTTCTGGAATACTCACCGGGTGTGAAAAATTGTGATTCACATGTATTTTATTTATTAATATGTAAAAGGATTACATGACAGCGATCCAAATTAGTTGTTCTCAACTTTTTTTAAATAAAATATTTATTCAACTCAATGATACTATGCAAGCATGAAAAATCGTGCTGATCTTGTGCCGTAGTATGCTTCTGTCACGCATCAACTTGGTAAGATTCACAGACATGGTCGTACTTTTAGAGTGAATAAATAAAAGACTTAATTTGCTATACTGTACATTGAGCCATTGCAAAGATCACTGAGGATGAGACGTCTACTTTGTATGGGAAACTTGGAAAATGAAGAGTTGAATATACACTGAAACTTGCCTTGGATGCTGAAGCATGTTAAAAATACTCGGGATGGGATTGTAGAGTTTCAACTTATCAATTTCGACACCTCCTTTAAAATTATTTCTCTTCCATTAAATCACGTGGGTTTGTATTTACGTTAGGAATACAAAAGAGAAAATAAAGTTCAATGTACTCTCTTCATTTACATTCATTTTACTTTTTGTGTGTTACTTATGATGACAAATTTGCCAGCGTAGCAGATTAGGCCATGATGGCATGGCAGGCCTTTTTAGAGATTTTTGCGGGTTTCGAACACGCAATTCACTGCTCTGATATCCACCATGGTTAACCGCCCGTAACACCTAGCCGATTTCGACCAAAACTGCCACAGGAAGCTCATAATAATAATGATGATGATGCTGAAAGTCAGAATGCAAATACGAGGGCGAGTCAATCGAGATTCAAAAAGTAGGCAAATATGTACATTTTTTTGTAGAGGGGTAATGTTTTTTCGTATTTGCTTAGCGTCTGTCTTGGTACGTCCCATCAGTACCGATCAGCGCTGGATTACTACACCTAAACGTGATATTTCGAAACTGGCATCTACGGACAGCTAGTCGGCGCTTCGTGTAGGCGGTGTAAGTGTAGCGTGTTGGTCACTGCACCGAGTTCTGCAATTGTTGTGTCAGTATAAGGGTGCTGTGTTTAATGCTGTTGCAATGATATTTGATGTATTCATGTTGTTTTCTCGTGTGGGATGCGTTCATTTTCAAAGTCGCATTTGTCTCCGTCATTTTTAGTAAATATGTCGAGCAAATGTTTTCTGAAGATGGATTTATTTTGCTTTGATGTTACGTAGAGTGTGTTTTGTTTCTGGTAGGACTGTTTGTTTAGTATATGATCCTAAAATTTGTTTTATGAATGGCCAGAATTTATCGGTATTTGTTGGTGTTTCCAGGTTTATTTGGCTTAATACAAAGGCAAGAAAGGAATTGATCTTTTATTTTAGAATTTAATCCCAAAGATAAATGGTCCAAAGGTTGAGGAAGCTGACGTTTTAAGAAATTAGGAACGAGACCAAGTTCAAGAAATTTTAGCTTAGTAGCTTGGTAGTCTCCCAGTTAAAATTTTGAGCCGAGACCGGCGCCGGGTTTAGCCGGGCTGGTCGCGCTTTAGCAGGATGGAGCCGTGAAACTATAACCGGCCATCTATCCCTGAAACTGCGCTGCGCCATGGCTGATATAGAGACAAAATTCTAGCAGCTCGGCAGGGCCGGAACTCTGCGCTGTTTTAGCGCATGTACTTGGGATTGCCCGGCAGGGAGCTGTACAGAGCAGCTAAGCAGGCCGTGCATGTGGGGGTTTTGATAGAGGGAAGAGGGGTAGGGGTTGGAAACAGTGACGGGAGAATGAACTTCATCCTACATCTAGTTCATTCGCATAGCACGATATTTTGAGCCAATTTCCGGTGCCATTTGAGATATTTATTTCACGTCAGTATTTTAATACTTCGAATTACGTAAGAATTTTATATGCTCTTCCAGTTTTAACACTCAGAAACGTTGAACAGAACGTTGAAGGTCATTCACGCTTTGCTAAAGCGAGATATCAATCAGTTTATCATGAGAAAGTTTTCTAACATGGATATACAGAAAACGCGTTAATAACAGTAAATGTTAGAGCAAAGAAAATACCGAGGAAATTCTCCATATTTTCAATGAAAATGTGTAAACCAGCACCATCATCGGTTCATAAAATTGATCGACTTTGAATATTGATCGACTTCTTTGCATGAAAACTCTTGGAGAACTTGCGATTTCAGTAGACTAATGATTTGCGTACGTTGTTAAATTTCCTATCAAACTATCGAATGACATGAAGCTAATGCTAATTCAATAAGATAAATTACTAAACAAATTTAGCTCTAATACTCACTTACATCTAACTGACGGGATCGTACGAATGGCTACTTTGTTCATTTTTTAAAATTAGTGCATTATGAATAATATCTATCAAGTTCAACCACAAATATAGCTGTTCCTCGATTTGTTAGATGATGACGAGTCATTTGTTCTGTATTATAGTTAAGTAGTTCATAGAGCCTAGCATGGTAAGGTGTCCGCGCGGTCAACTGGTACAGGCGTGGACTACGACGCGGAGAATCTGCGTTCGAATCCCGGAGCTTCAGTCGACGTTTGCAGATAGTTCATAGCGGTGAGTAATTTGATGTGTATATTTCCTCGATAATTGAATTTGTTAGATTCTAAATTACGTTGCGAAAGTTAATACGATGAGAATGTCAGTAAACAATGTCAATACAGCCTGTCATTGCAAGAGAGAAGTCTAGGTGATCTCAGAGAGAGAAGGAACAATTTTTTTAAATCGTTGTTGACAAACGGTGACGCGTAACTGCCGCGTACACTGCCAGAGCCGCCCCAGAGCAGGCGTTGGGCAGGTTTGAGCAGGCGGTGCTCAGTAAAGGCTGCGTGACGGCAGGACAGAGCATATCTGGGCAGATACTCAGAAGCTAATTAGCGCTGATACGCGGCTGGCGATATCGTCTTTAAAGCGGACATTTCTGCTCTATCTCTGCTCTGTCGCGTCTCTACGTCGGCTCTGCAGCCGGCGACGGCCTGCTCTATTCCCTGCCCTAAATTTTAACTGGGCTGGTAGCTTGATAGCTTAGAAGTATGGTATTAAAGGTTCACCGACCTTAAAGACGAATGAACCTGGCCAAACATAAATCGAGAAATAACAAAGAACCTTAGTGGAAACAAATTTAGAACGTACATTAAAGTATAGCAAAATATGGCAAACATATTGAAAATTTTAGTAATTGGAAGAGAATTCGAACTTATACAGCAAAGCATTTACACCCTCCATAATAAGAATTTCTAAATTGCACCTTCGGAGTCGCCGAAAGCCTCCAAAAATTAACTGAAATGGGACACCGCTGCCCAGCGCCCGAAAAAATTTACAGAAGATTTGCAGGTATTCTATAGAAACAAAATTGAAATAACTGTTGAATAATTAGGAATCAAAATATAAGCTGGGTGAGCAAAAAGCTTTGTATCACTATCTGAGAGATTAAGCAACAATATTTTAAGAGGCAATAACAGAGGCCACATAAAGGAAAATCATGAAAGTAGAAGTATATAAATAAATATACTCCTATATTTATATATCTCAATATAAATTAGTTAATTCTTGGAAAGAACCAAGCCTTTCCGTAAAGTTCGGAAAATGGAATTACACAAGGAGCCAAAGCTCAAAAGTAAAGATGGCCACGCCCCATTATAAGTCAGCCCTCTTCTAATCAAAGAAGAGCAAACATGTACTTACAAAAAATAATTAAAGTGAAATCAAAGAGTGATCACACCAAATAATAAATTGAAATTAGGAAGGGATGGCTATATACACTCCTGTGACAAGAAATTAGCATCACAGTTTATATACTGTGACAAGAAATATACGTTTTGCCATAGTTTATATGCAGTGATAAACAAGAGCATCACAGTTGAAATTAGCATCACAGTTTATATACTGTGACAAGAAATATACGTTTTGCCATAGTTTATATGCAGTGATAAACAGGAGCATCACAGTTTCCAAGCATTTTGTTTGGGCAGTTTATTTTTGGCTTGTCTGTTTTTTATATCAATATCCTGAAACATTTCTTTACAGCAGCAAGACTTTTTTTCATGTTTACATAATTCAAATGCTGCTCTCAGTGATGATCTGAAGATCTATAGTACTGATGAAAGTTCCAAACAACATGTACAATCCGATTCACATTCAAGGTCTTGTTCAATTTTTTTTGCTCACTACCCAAGAAGATTGTCTTGGGTTAGAGTTAACTTTGGAGATGACACTAAAGTTGTTCGAGGTCAAAATTCTTCAGCTGCAGATGTAGTTGTGTCATCATGGAGTTGTGCCACTGTTGCATCAGATGAAGTTGCGTTGATATAGCCCGTCGCCCGCATAATAATATAGCTGATGCATGAAACTGCATTCATGGAGATAGGTGGTGGTATGTAGTGGCTTGCATCAACAGGAAGTGGTGAAGTCATAGATGAAGAGCCAATCTTGATTTCAGTTTCATCAGTAAATGTCTTTTTCTTACTGATTTTACTGTAATAGACATGATAGGCTCTTCTATGATGCAGTTGAAAATGTTTAACTAAATGTTACGGCTTTTTGAAAACCTCACTTTTTTACTCATAACTGTACAAAATTTACATCTGGCCATAGGTCTTTTTTTGCGAATTTATGAATGCAAAATCGAACAAAGGATACGAAATCATCACGTTAGCCTTGCGTAACTTCGCTTATTTGTACGGTCAATATTCATTGCTTCGGTTGTGACTTAGCCGTTAGACAACACGAGAAACAAAAAGACGTCAAACGATTTTAACGCCGGCAATCATAACTTCAGCAGATCGAAGTTTTCGAGCGCTGAGTAACAATAATTATCATAGGTACGGTCATAGACACGATGCAGTCACAGTTGTCGTCAGTCGTGTTACTATGTACATACTTCTGTGGACCAGCACGCAACCCTGTCATCAATCCTGCCTGCCTCCCTCTCAAGTTAGAAACAAACACTGTCTAGTAATAGTAACTATTAGGAAAAAATACTGATAACAAATGTAACTCTTGGTTCAAGCAGCGGTAATTGCAAAGTTATTTACGCTCTTTTACTGGTAAATTGAATATATTAAAACCATTTAAAATTTTGACATAATTTTTTTTGTCATTCAGCATCAATTTCAAATTTTAATAATGCCTGAAACCTCGTTCAAATTTCACATGCCGAATTCAGCCAAATCGTACGTGAAGCTGCTGAAACGTTCATATGGTCTGGTCCCACAACCATCAAGTGTCAACCACCGCTTCTTTTATCAGCAAATCGGCAACCGGCGACCGCAGCCTACCTGAGCCGACTGACGGGTTCGTCGTATAGGACGTGGATGGTGCAATGAACGCTGCTCGGGAAAATGCAGTCCATTTGTGAACTGTTGAGTGATGTGAAGTGACGTACATGTTTCATCTGTGGGGATGAATAAATTGTATTATTTCATCTGATGTATATTGAAGAATTTAGTTTTGGAGTTATTGGTATTTCCAAGAAAAAGTCACCTGTATTGGCTTCTGTAAGAAAGCTCTTATATTTGGGTGCTTTAACTCTTTGAATATAGATACATTAACAGTTCAGAATGTTATTGGTAGCTACTGGTCATCCGGTAATTAGAAAGATAGTCAATTTATTTGAGATTAGCATTGGCAAAATTCAGAGCGATGAAGCAGCATATTTTATGGTAGAGAGTTATATTAGAGACATATTGGTCTCTAATTCAATTCTAATTCTCATATCTCTGTTTCCGTCGAATTCCTAGAACACCAGAAATTTCTCTAAGCACATGTCACGCACTCATCAGTGTGAATTACATTAAAGATAATAAACAAGCGTTGCAAACCATCACCATGCACAGTTTCACATCACAATTCAGTAGAAGTAGTAATAGTTAAGGTAACGCAGTGACCTAAACTCTGCTGACTACGCAGAGTTTAGGCCTATTAACTTAGAACGCTAGTGCAATAGAGTGACGCTGTAGTCGAACTCAAAACTTCTCGCACCGATGGGGGATGAAATGAAAACGACGTGAACTTTCGTTATATACCTACTAATGATCTTCATGTAGCGTACAGTAGGCTTCATACTAGGACACACAAGTTCTTCAATCGAGTAAGTTCCGTATTATCCTTCATACACAATTCAAAGTTCCACTAATCTGAGCCTTCACTAAGTCGGTAAGGCTTGTGAAATTAGCACTACGAGTGACTTTTTTAGCGAAATTATTTCTTCCTAAATTTGGCATACTATTTTCACGTTCCATCTCTCCACTACTGAACACAATGATGCAAAATGAGATTCCAAGATTTAGTCATGAATGAAAATATTTACTCATAATTTGTCAGATTCTAATACTAAT